ATCAGCAGGCATTGGGGAGTCCCTGTGCCCCCGAGAACTACCAGGAGTGACTAGAAATAACGGTCACAAGCTGGCAGAGGGTAGATTTAGGCTAGATATCAGGAGGTGCTACTTCACTGTCAAGGCGGTTAGGATCTGGCACCAACTTCCAAGCGAAGTGGTGCTGGCTTCTATCCTGGGGGTCTTTAAGAGGAGGCTGGATGAACACCTTGCTGGGGTCATTTGACCCCAGTACTTTTTCCTGCCATGGCAGGGGGTCAGACTTGATGATCTGCTCAGGTCCCTTCCGACCCTACCAACTATGAAACTTGAGACCAGCTACATGTGCAAAGTACCTATCATGCCATAAAAAGCTCCAAATAGCTATAAAGTGATATCTAAAACATGTGTACTAATTTTCTATCTGGTTGTTATTGAGCTTTAATTTGCATGTGTGGCACAGTGTCCCTGTGGCTGGGAGCTCCATCAGCTGTCAGGGCTCCCAACTGCAGGAGTACACCTTGCCCAGCTAGGCCTAGGAGTCCTGCAACTCAGGGGACACTCAGCTCCAGCAGCATGGGAACCCAGAGTCCTGCATCTACGGATGCTGGTACCCAGCCAGGGGGTGCAGCTGCCCTGGGGGTACAATCTCCCAGCCTCAGGGTACATGAAAAAAACAAAATAAGACTTCCTCTACCAGAAAAAGTCCTTAGATTCTTAAGAAATAGGATCTTTTAAGGGAACACAGTTTAAATTTGCCATAGTTGGTTAATGATGAGAGTGGAGCTGACAGGTGCACAAGCTGTCTTAAACTACTTACATCAGTGACATCAGTGACAAATGCCTGATTCTGCCTCTCAAGTACCACATCCTCCTGATTATGAAGAATGAAAGGTTGCAACTGGGATTGAAAGAAGATTAAACAGTAGGGCTGACAAGCTCCTATCCTCAAAAGGTGAGTTTCTCTCTTACCTCTGGCAGTCTCCCACTGAAGTCTTGACCAATCTCAATCTTTTTTTATTTTATGGGGTCTGAGAAGATCACAGATTAAAGGTTTAATGTGGGCAGTGTAGATTTTTTTTCTCTTGTCACTGAAGCCTAAGACAGTGAAACAACCGGTTTTGGAATGCAAATCAAGACACATTTAACTTATAATACTTTACTATTGTTAGGTCAAAGGAAATGAGAAAAAAATATAGCTATTGTCAAAATAAATGTATGTGTGTGTATAAATATTTCATTTGCATATGATTGTAATACGTGTTTCACTATACTTCTATAATATGATTTAAATTATAGTGTTATAGCCTATTCTTTAAATTTAAATTTTATCTTCTTTTCACATTCCTTTTCTCTTAGGTTCAATTTGTTTGTGATGTATTGAGTTGAAGTTTGCACTGCATTTGACTTCTCAGCACATTCTTTTTGGGCTTTTATTTTAGCATCCCTCCGTGCCCTACTAGTCTTTATATAAGATTAGCCCCAATCTGTTAGGTACAGGTTACCCTAAATATTCAGATCCAGGTACCACTGGAATGTAGCCCAATTCTTCACCAGAAAAAAACCAAAACCAAACAACTCTACAGTTGTCCTCTAGTGTAGGAGACAACATTTCACAACTGGTGTTTTTGGCTAAGCTAAGATTGGATGTGTTTTGAGAAGTAATGTACTAGTAAGATGCAAGCTGTTGCCCTTAATATGGGTGTCACTGAGGCTCCCTCTACGCATTACAGGTGCAGACAGAAGTGCAGCTCCCCGCTCTAACTGAGACTGCTTTGCAGAAAGTGTTCTGAGTTACAATGGTTTCCTGGAACAAACAGAAGTTCACTGTTGGTTCCAGGGGGAGGGAATATAGCTGCTATCTGCAGCTGGTTTCCCCTAGCAATGGCCCCTTCTCTCTCCCAGCCTGTCCCTGTTTCAGGATGGGAGGAGGAAAGGGAGCCGAGTGAGTTCATCTAGGAGTTTCCCAGCCAGTGCTGGAGGGTGGGGTGGGTGAATTGAAGCCTCCCCACCTCAGGGTGCTCCAATTCACCAGCCCCACCCTACAGCTGGGGCTGAAACTCCCCCAGATGAAACTCTCTCCGCTCCCTTTTCTCCCTTCCATTCTGAAAACAGCTCAAGGCTCAGAGGCAGGCAGACAGAAGTTATGGAAGGTGTTCTGTTTTGAAATGTCTTCATTTGACCCCTCATGCAATGAGGGTTCAAATTTTCACCTGATCTGCCATTTTTTAACCTGTCTGCACCCATACCCTGGTGTTTGGTCATGACTAGAAACTGCTTTCTGTGGCTGGATCAGATGAAAATTGTCCCTTCAGTTTGTGCCCACAGTATATTATGCAATTACCTGGTTAATTGCACAATTAATTTATCCTGCCTTTATGTGCAAATTAACTATCATGCCTTAAAACAGTGCAAGAAACTATAAAGTTACAGCTAGAACATGGGTAATGACTTTATAGTTGGTTTCTATTCAGTTTTAATTTGAACATGTAGCATAGCTATGCTCCTGCAGCTGGGAGCCCTGTCAGCTGACAGGGCTCCGAGCTGTGGGGGTGCACCATGTACTGCTGTTCTTGGGAGTCCTGTAGCTGATGCAGCCCTGTCCACTTACTTGAAGAGTGGCATGCTTTCGTTTATAAATGTATTCTGCCTGTCTCATCAAGTTCTACGGAGAACTTAAGTTCACGCTTTTTAAATCAAGATTCTAGTCTCTTGATGCATAAACAATCTCCAAACTAGAAATCAAGTTAAAATCAATGCAGGTTTTTCTTTCAAATTCTATGGAGGGACAGTTTCCTGAAAATGGCATATTACATAACTTTACTCTTTTAAAATAGCAGCAGAATTCCCCAACTGTCACCATTTGCCCTCTTCTGGACTGCCGTAAGAGGAGATAAAGGCAAGATTTTTTTTGACAGGAAATAACTGCTTATGTTTCAGGGCATAGACTGAAGTAAAATAAAAGTGTATATACATTTTAACAAAAACAACTTTCCTATGGCTACTTTGTTTATATAATCACTAATTTCAGGGTTTCTGGCAGCTTTTTCTGTAGCAAAGTTTACCTTGCTGGTGTCAGAGAGAGGGAACAGGGCCACATGCACAGCTACTACCCAGCAGGACAGTTCTTGTGTACTACTGTTTTGATGAGTACATTTGATAATGTTAGGAAGTGCTATACAAAATAAAAGTTTTATATATCATAAGAGTTCTAAAATCATGCTATCTGAATACTTGATGCAAAAATAGGATTAAACTATAAATGAAATATTCTGTGCAAATTTATAAAGGAAAAATTCTCCTAGTCAATCAATTGAAAGTTTTCATAGAGATCTAAATCTTGTTAAATTACTTTTATTTCTCATTGTACAGTACAGCAGTCTTTTCATATTTAAACTTTCATTGATTTCAGTAGAGGTAGTATTTCACTCAATGTCTCCAATCCAGATTTTTAAAAAAAGCAAAATTGTATTTTGTTTGATACAGGAGGAAAGACTTCATGTTGCCAAGTGTGGTTTTCTTTGGAGATTAATAGTATGCCTTCAGCACCTGAAAGAATCCTAGAAGTGAAATGTACAGCTTTGGTGAGATCACTTAAAATTTTTGGATTTGTGGCATTGTATTGGCAGATACACTCAGATATAATATATCTGATTATATTGTTATTGTTGGTCTGAATGTTAACATACATTATTATACAAATTTGTAAGGTGACATTCAGCTTTTGGGCTAATAAAACACAATACTTGTTAGGACTTCAGATAAAATCAGTAATATGAACCAACCTTCCCACTTTTTTCTAATTTTAGACATTTATTAATAATCATTCAATCACTATTTCCTCTCCATTTCTTTAATGTGGGTTTTATTCTGCTGTAATCTGTATCTAACTTTTGAGCTTAAATAGGGATAGATTAAATCTTCAACCCTAGCCAGACATAATAGGTCAAATTGAAATTTGCATGCTTTCCATCCTGACATAATGCATGCTATTAAAATTCAGTGAAAGCCCCTTGTTAAATTTTTGTGCAGTCATTTCATTAACAGATAAGTATTTTCTTTGACCCTCAAAGAATACAATAAATTGTTGTTAATCATCTTGGAAGAAATAGTATGCTTTTATTGAATTATATGGTTTGTACATTAGGCTTGAAAAGCACAATGTTTCACAGGGCTGCTATGATAATGCTGACATTAGGCTATACATTTTTATGTGTGACTGCTTTTTTGCCTTTGATTTAGATTATTTAGTGGTTTTTATTTTTATAGGTAAAGCTTGTGGTCATCTTTAAAGGAATATTTGTTTTATCATTTAGAAATGCTGCTTTCCATTTAGTTTGTAAACAGCTGAGAAAAAACAGCTTTGGGAATGGATGCTGATAAGAGGTTCTATACATGGGAATAACATTTGCAGTATTTTGCTGCAGGAAGCTTTACTTAAAAATGTAGCACTTATGCATTGGCTTCACTTCATACATTAAGAATTCAGAATATTTTTACTTCAGATATATGAATGTATTAGTACTTTATATGAATATATTAGTATTTAGCAGTTTCATTTCTGGTTACTAGATGACTTGTGTAATAAATATGGAGATCAGTTAAGTAAAAAAAGCCATACACTGCCTAAGATTTGAAAGCATCATAATAATAGACAGAACAAAGAGATATACAAAACAGACTGAAAGCAAGGTATAAATTAAGTATTAAAAATGACTTGAAATTGTGTAATTTCTGCATGGACTTAGTTTCACTTTTTGTAACTGAATGGCAGATACATAGCATTTAATTCTCATTTTTGGCCTGGTCAGAGCACAGCATGCTATTAAGTCTCAATAGCCAAGCAAAAACTTAACTGTCCATGGTGCACATGGAATAATATCACTAACTATGCTTAATTTTCAAAAATGACACTTATGCAGCTGAATAACTTCAACTTAAGTGTATAATGTGAACTACAATTCTGCCTTTAGTGTTACTGCTTGGCACACCTTGAGTAAGTGCTGTGAATATAACTCCACCCCCAAGGTTGGTGTCCGCCAACTTGCCTGCCATGACTTGTTGGTATATGTAAAGAAGGAGGTTCACTGGTGTTCTCTTCCCCTATAGACCCAAAGACAGGGTACTCTCAGGTGTGCCATGGTGTTCCCTGGGGCTCCTCCTCCCCTACACCCTGTCCACTCGCCAACCGTTTGGGCATTCAGATCTTTGTCCCGACAATATATGTTGGCCCCTTGACTGTGGGGTCTGGTGTTGGCTTTGGTAATCTGGCCCACCACCAGGATGCTGATAAGCCTGAAGCTTCAGTCCCTGGCCTCAGGGGTCTGAGTCACAGATGTCTGGCGTCCTCCCCATGAGGGACGCCCCTTGAATACTCTAATGTTGAGGGGCTGAGGGCTGGCCATCCCCCAGCCTTGTGCCTGCTCCTTTGCTGGAGGGCAGTGCCTTTAGTGCCACCACAGCCAGCACCCAGAGCCTCCACCCAGCTGGTGTGCCCCCAGCTGGCTTTCTTCTCCCTGCCTGCTTCTGTAGGCTTTTTAAATTCCCTGCGGTGGCGGCTCCAGCTGCTGCAATCAGCTGGCCGCCGCCCTGCCCAGGAAGCAGCCGCTTGAAGAGCCGGCGAAATGCTGGCTCGCGCAGCTCTTGCTTCACCCTTGCCTGCTCTGGAGGTGAGTTCCCTGGGGCATGGGTGGCTCTCCTTTTCCTTTTGGGAATGCCAGGGTTTGCCCCCAGCATTTCCAAGGCCCGTGGGGGTTTCTCGCTGCCACACTGATTGTATACCTTTCTGATCCAGAACGCAACATAATACAAGTGCTTTTACATGACAGTGAAAACAACCATTTGATTTAATGAAGGAATTATAAAATAGGGGTGCATATGTACTGTACATCTAAATTTGGTAAAATATTTAACATAACAAAGAACCCTGGCCCTGTTACTAGAAGGTGGTATGGCCCCTTTAAGGGTAGAGTTTATAGAGCACAGGTAGCTGGCAGAGTAGGGGTTAAAGGACAGCTTTGTAGTCAGGCCAGCTGACTGAGTCATCACATGACTAGGAGAGGGCGCAGGCCAGAGCTATATAAGCCCTGCAGTTGAGCCAGAGAGGGGGGCCAGCCCTGAGAGTTGTAGAGTATGGGGCTCCTGAATTCCCAAGGAGGCTAGAAGAAAGCAGCTCTGCAGACTGGGGAACAAAAAGAGTGACACACACACACACACACACAGAGAGAGAGAGAGAGAGAGAGAGAGAGAGAGAGAGAGAGAGACTTGGCAAACAGGCACACAACCTTTGTTTTTCTTTGTATGTTATAGCCCAGGGACTTAGTGTTATTTTGCAGTTTAAACCAATGGTTTGGGCTGGTATATTAAGGGGTGGTTTTTGGAGGTCACATTAGTATCCTAGGGGTACATGCCTGTCTTGAGCCCTACAGTGGCAAGTTCAAGACAGAGCAAGGGTTGGGGCCCAGAAGCCAGGCCTAGAGCAGTGGGCCAGGGCTGTGGGATCAGCCAGAGTAGAGGGCCAGATGCGGGGAAGTCTAAAACCCCACAAAAAGGAAAAAGAAAGACCTGGAGTGGCTTGGAGATGCTGGGACAAATGTCCCACCTGATTCGAGATTCAGAATCTGTGAGGTATGTTGTAGGGGATGTATGGAGCCATGCAATTAGCTCTTAAGGTGAGGGACCCACACTTCCAGGTTTTCCTTGGAGCTAGACAAGGCCTGGGAAGCTCTGGGGAAGCTTCCTCTTTCTAAATATAAGGGACATCAAGGTGTGGTAGGCAAGTGAAGGGGAGACTGTTCCCAGAGTGAACAGGGAAAAAGGGGGGATTTGGGGGACCTTCAGGGGCTTGTGATTACCTTTGGGATGGTACCCAGTTATTCATGCATTCATTTATTTCTTCTAGTGCTTGATGTTTTCTCACTCTATTTCACACCCTGAGTGTGAGTTTGCACAGGGGTAGATCCAGAGGGGTTGCAGCAACATAGTTGTACCCCGCTTTGGCTGTGTGCCTCCTGTTCAGTAAGGAAATAGTTAACAGGAGCAGGCTCTGGTGCTGAAACCAGGGACTCTGGGCAGACCATATGTTGGTGTGCTCAGAGAGCTCACAGCAAGTACAGAGCTGTGTTGACATGCCTGTGAACTCTAAAGGCACGTTCAAACAAGCGCGCACATCCCTCTCGCCCTATCTGAAACCTCTTTGAGGCACGGCAAGAGGCATGAGCAGGAATGAAAAAATGTTCCTTGTACTGCAAGTTTGCAGCCCAAGGAGAAAATTAGACCCAGGCTACCCAGAGGTCAAACAAAAACCCAGGGAAAAAGTCAGGTCAGGGCACAGTCTGGGACCATGCCCTGAGGCAACTGGAGGCTCAGTCCTCTGGAGACAGAGTACCAGAGCGTCTCTATGATTGGCTCTTTCCCTGCTTCTGAAGCATGCTGCCTGCCCGTGGTGGGCAGGCAGTGGTGCAACCTGCAGGGACCTGTCCTGGATTTTGCCAGGTGAGCAGGGGGTTGGGGGAGCTGGAGGAGGAGTGGGGGGGGGCACCTTGGGAGGCTGGAGACAGCAGGGTAATGAGCAGGGGTCTGGAGACAGCCCCAGAGGCATTCCCCTGTTGTTCCCTGCTCTCCCAAGGTTGGAGGCAGCAGGGTAATGTCTCTGTGGCCGTCTCCAGCCCCCTGCTTCTTCCCCTGCTTGTCTCCAGCCTTGGGGGGAGTAGGGGAAGAAGGAGGGAGCTGCAGACAGCAGGGAAATGTCTCCAGGGCTGTCTCCAGCCTCCTGCTTCTTCCCTTGTTTGTCTCCAGCCTCGGGGGAGCAGGAGAAAGAGTAGAGGGCTGGGGATAGCAGGGCAATGTCTCCAGGGGCTATAAGATGTCCCTTGTTTTTGTATTGGCTTTAGATAGAAAAGGCAAAGAAAGGATCATTTCCCCTGTTTTAGACTCATAAAATCCTCAGGCTGGAAGGGCCCTCAAGGATCATCTAGTTGAACCACCTAAACAAATTCAGAATTTGCTCTTCCTAAGCCACTCTGGGGAGATCCCCATCTGCCGCTTCTTGAATGCCACCAGTGAAGGGGATTCCACATATTCCCAGGTGGCTTGTTCCATTTTCCTCCTGTTCTTACACTTACAAAATCCTTTCTCTCCACCCTGGGACTTCATCTAGATCTTCCTCACTGCAATTTAAACCTAACTTCTGCCATGGTCTCATGTCCTGCTCTCTTTGGCAAGGAAGAATAAAAAGAACGTAGGAAGTGCCAGACTGGGTCAGACCAATGGTCTGTTAAATCGAGGCAGAGTAGTCCATGTGCTGGGTGGGGGGGGCTCTGCCCTGTGGGGAGCAGCGGACCATTGGCGATGCGTAGGGAGGGCACCTCCTCAAAAAACTTGCCACCGACACTGTCAGTGGTGCTCGTAGGCGGTTGCCACTTGCTCCCCCCTGCTGCCAGTGGTGTCTGTGGGCAGTCAGCAATTGCCACTGGCCACCACTGTTGCTGCCAGTAGTGTCTGTGGGTGCTCGCCGCTCACCACCCCTCCCCCTGCTGTTGACAGTGCCAGCGGCATCTGCGGGAGTTCCCTGCTTACCGCTCCC